CATTTACAATGTTTTTCGGTGAATCAATTTGTTATATTATATTTTTGTTATACAAATCTTTTAATTATTCAAAATATTTATACGAACTAGAACTTGCAAATAAATTGAAATAAGAAACAAAAATTAATTATTTGGTAGTAATAATTCCAACTTTATGTGATTTAATAGCTAGTTGTTTAGCATTTTTTGCATTATCATTGATGCCTACATCAGTATATTAGATGTTGAGAGGAGCTACAGTTGTAATAACAGCAATATTTTCAGTGTTATTTTTAAAGAAAGTTCCAACAAAGCACTAAATATTAGGAATGTCTTTAGTTGTTTTGGGTAATTTAATAGTTGGAATAACAATATATTTAAAATAAACTTAATCAGATTATCTAATAGGAGTGTTATTTTTATGTTTATCATTTTTTATGTTTTCATTTTAAGTCATTTTAGAGGAGAAATACTTTCGAAAATATTATTTAAATCCTTTTGAATTAGTTGGTTTAGAAGGTTTATGGGGATTGGTATTTACTTCAATTTTACTGGCAATTTTAGAATTTATCCCATGTCCTTCTAAAATGCAAAGTGGTTGTCCATAGAATTCTGATGGAAAATATTATTTAGAATAAACAATTTAATTTTTTTAAGTTGTTTTTTCATTTCATAATAAAAACTATTAACCATAATTATTTCTACTTATAATTGCTGAGGCTACATCAATTCTACTTCTAAATTCCATTTGCATGGCTGTTGTTAAATATTTAAGTGCTTTAACTAAAAGTGTAGTACAAGTAACAACAATAGCATTAGTTTGGATAACTTGTCTGATAATAGGATGGGAATAATTCTATTGGGGTTAATTAATTGGATTTATTATATTAGTATTTGGATCTTTAATTTACAATAATATAATAAAATTACCATTTAAAGTATAAATTAATTAATTAAAAATTAGTGTTTATATTAATAATAGAAAGTAGAAGATATATAAAAGAAAATTGAAAATGAATAATTATTGAATTGAATTGAATTAAATTAAATTTGTAATTCTAAAATTGGTAATCCTAAAAATTATATTATAATAATTCTATCAAATATATAAAATTTGTTTCCAAAAATCTAAAATAAATGAATATTAATTTATTTATATAAATAATAAAATTAAATTCATTATTATAGTTTGTTTCTCCACCATCTTCCTGATATCATTTATCCATTCACTTTGATATATTTTCCTAAACCACTAATTAAATCTTAAATGAAAGTTCCATCAAATCTATCACCATTTGACAAATATAGTATTCCTTAACCCTCTTTATTGTCATCATAAAATTGCCCAATATATTTAGTCCAATATCTAAGAGTAATTCAAAATAAATACTCTCCAACTTAATCAAAATCTCTATAATCAAATTCACTATATAACATTTATGGTTCTTCATTATACAAAGTTCCTTTGCCTTAAAACTTATCATTAACCCATTATCCTTCATATGCAGGTTTACCTGATGCATAAAAAAGTGTTCCTTTTATAAAAAAGTAAATTATTACCATTTCCATGCATTTTATTATCATACCATTGCCCCTCATAAACTCCACCATTGTCTTAAAAATAAAAAATACCATAACCCTGTCTTAAACCATTCTATTTCTCACCATCATATTTAGATCCATTTGGATATATTTCTATTACTTTTTCAATATCACTTCTTTTTGTATTAAATGAATTAATCAATCTCATATTTTAATCTACTTTTTATGATTAATCTGTTATATAATAATTGGATTTGGATTATTACATTTTTATAAATTGTTCATATTATTAGGATGTTTCAAAAGAAGTAACTGGCATTAATATATTTTACTATTCAGGTTCATTTGTAATATGTTTAAACTTATCTATTCCAATTTGATTTCCAATATTATCATCTATTCCTGAGGGTTCAGCTATTTATTCTGACAAGGGTAACTAATAAGATACCAGAGTTGATTACTATTTTAATATGATCACTTATATCTGGTCTCAATTCTTTTACTTCATTACGATCAATGTAATTAGATTGATTGCTTTATTGAGATTATCTTAATTCTTAAGATTTCTAAATTTAACTATTCCTTATAGATTAATTAGATTGTTAGATTTTCAAATTATTTCTTTCTTAAGAATTCATAACCATCTACATACTTTATAATTAAATTGGAGATGTCTCAATTATTTATTCATAATTTTACACTTAAATAATGGGAGCTTTTTGTATTTAAATAATTTATTATTCTTCATATAATTATGATTATGATGATAAAGATGCTTATAATTCATATTTCAATTGAATAAAATCTGGTCTTTAATCTTCATTTAAAAGTAACATTTTTCTTAATAATGAAACATATTATGATGAAAATGTAGTTTCAATCTATTGTAATCTACGTTAAACTTATTAAAGTAGAACTTTTAATTTTGGGATATCATAACAATCATCACAATTATTAAGAGTTGAAAGATGTAACATTGTCATTCCTAATGAATATACATCACTTTTATAAGGATTATGTTAAGGTTATACTTCATCATTCAAAGATTACATTAATTAAGGACTCAAATAATATTAATTGATTTATTTTAATTCTTCTTATACTACTAATTAAAAAGAACTTAACAATCCACTAACAGTAGGATCTGACAATTTAACTAATTATTATTATTCTTAATAAGAAATAGTCTCTGGTCTTATAGCTTAATGAGTAATATTTTAAAATTGTAAAATATATAATGCATCAATGCATCCTTTTAAAATTTACATTAAATCTTTTTCTTTAAAATATTATTTATTAGTTAATCTTTTCTCTATCGTTTCCTTTAAAGATTATGGAATATATTCTAATAAAATGTAAATTTAAAAAAATTAACCACAGAATTAACTTTCTTCATGAAAATATAGTTCTAGATATACAAATTTTAATTACTAGTAACATTAATAAGATTTTCATGTTTATTACTTTCCTTTTTTTCTAACAATACTTTGAATTTCTTGAATTTATCTTCATCTGTTAAATTTATTTCCTTCTAAAATGCCTCCTATTTTGTCTGTTTCTATTAAACTATACGACCTTCTCCATATCTTGGATCATCCTTTATATTACGAATAACCATATAGTTAGTATGCAAGGCCTTAATACTTGCGTTACTATCTGAATTACCCATTGAAAAATTAATTATTTATCTTATATAATTTAATAAATCAATGTGTAAATGATGAATAATCCCACTTGTTCTTATCTATCTTTATTGTTATGCATCCCTTTGATTCTAATGTACTGTTCATACAACAAGACCAACCTTCACTTCCATCAGGCATTTTCTACCATACACCATTATGACAATATTTATAATCTAAATCATGTTTTAATGTCCTTGCCATATCTGGTTTAAATGTATAATTTTTATCCTCTATTAAGAATTATATTATTACTTGAATTTGTTCTTAGTTTTTACTTAATTTTGCCTCATAAGCCAATCTAAATACTGCTCCATCAATTGCTTATTAAGAAGCAGCAGGATTTGCTAATTAATAATCAAATCTTATCTTATTTCTCATCTCTTTCTCATTTACTTTTTGAGATCTAAGATCTAATTACAATTTTGATTAATGTTCTATAGGTTTTAAATAGTTTTTTATAATCTCCTCCTCTTTAGATTTAGTATTTTTTAGTGCCTCTTTAGTTGAATTCATTAGATTTTTTTAAAACTCTAGATTATTGGTTTCTGTACTCACATTCCATTTACTTGAGCCTTTTTTTGCTAATAAATAATTATCTCTAGTTTCTATTCCTTCATATATTTTATTAGCTTTCTCTTTTGGAATAGGATGATCAAATAATCCTAATCGAATTTTAACCAATTTTCTTTCATGAGTTTCCTCTGACAATGGATTCTTTGGAACTGAAACGCTGCTATTCCATTCTTTCTTTCTCAAACCTAAAATATCCTATCATATTAAATGCAAATTAAATTTACTGGATCAACAAAAGTTTAAACAGTTTCTTTTATTTGTAATGCTCTTTAAGGGATATCCTCTTTGCTAAAAAATTATTCATCTTTATCATAGTTCATTTTATTGTTCTTGATACTACCAATCTTATGTATTCTTTATTCAGTCTATAATATTTCTTATTCTCCATCACTCTGTTTTTATCTTCTTTCATATGCTTCTTTTATAAACATTTTTTATTTTATGTTATATATATAAATAAATATATCATTTACTTATTAAATAACTAAACAATTATAAACACAATTTCAAAACTCCTAATCTAATAAAATAAATAAATAACTTTACTTTCTTTATCAATTAAATATATTTTAAGATAAGAAGTCTTAAATTTAAGAATTGTATGAAAAAAGTTAGATAAGGTTAATTTATCATAAATTATTAAAACTTCTAAAAAAAGAGTATTTCAAATGACATTCAAAAAACAATCTTCTTTATTAAAAGCCTCTTCAATTAATTAAAAATAACCATCTATAAGTTTATTAATTTATAATAAATTCTTCATAATTAGATCTTATAAAGTATTCAATTTGAATCAATTATCATATCATAAAAGCAAAGCCTATTTGAGATTTTCTTTTGATCTTTATAGATTATTATTGATTTTTACAAATTTAATTTCAATACTTCATTTAATAAGAGGCTATATTATCACAATATTAGTATGTCCCAATATTTAAAACTTTTTTATTAAATTCCTATCAAATTTATAAATATATTCGTGATAAGTTTTGTGTGATTATTATTATTTTTAAAAAGTCTTGAAAGTATAAGTTGTTTTAGAATGTTTAATCCTAAGTTATTGATTATAAAATGAATTCAATTAAAAATAGATTATATATTTTATATCTTAACTAACAGATGTAGTATAATAATTTTTTTGTTTATCTTTGTAAAAAACAAACTTAATCAGTTACAATAAATATGAAAAAATTAAAAAACATTTATTTTATTCATTTATAAATGATTTCTAAAAATGAGGATAGTTTTACAGATAATGTATAATCTGAAAGAAAATACTATGAAAGTGATTAAGATATTCAACCATTAAAGGTATTTCTCTAAAATTTCCAAAAGGTAGGAGATAACATTTAGAATCGATTTTTAATAAGCCAAAAAATAGGTGAGGGTTCATTTGGCAGTGTCTTTAAAGTTCTTGATAGAAAGAATAATAATGCCTAATGGGCTATGAAAGTTGAAGAAGATGAAGATGAAAACAGTTTATTAGAAAGAGAAATAAAAGTACTTATTGAATTGAGGTAAAATTAAATGTTCAATTTTAGAAAATAGTAAGGTTTTCCACAAATTAAATTTTATGGATAAGAAAGAGGATATACATATTGCATTATGACAATGTTAGGAAAAAACTTAGAATAAATTTTTAGGAAATTAGGAGGAGTAATGACTTTAGCCACTGTACTAAGATTAGCCATTTAAGTATCAAAACTAAAATGATATTAGCTTAACAGATGATAGATAGAATTTCAGTTATGCATGAAAATAGATTTCTTCATCGTGATATTAAACCAGATAATTTTGTTATTGATTCAGGATCTAATCCAAAAATGTTATATCTAATAGATTTTGGTCTATCTAAACATTATATTGTATTATATATATATAATTAATTATTAGAATAGTAAAGGAGAACATATACCTTATGTTAAGAAGGCAGGATTAATAGGAACTGCAAGATATGCCTCTATAAGTGCACATGAAGAAATGGAATAAGGAAGAAAAGATGATCTTGAAAGTATTGGCTATGTGTTGATATATCTTGCAACAGGAAATCTACCTTGGATGAATTTATAAATAGATTCTAAAGATGCTAAATATGCTAAGATTTATGAAATAAAAAAAGAAATTAAGATTTAAGATATATGTTAGAATTTACCAAAAGTAATATTAAATTTAAATATAGTGTTTTTATTTTTATATGAATGATGTTAAATCTTTAGAATTTTAAGAATCTCCTAATTATGATAAATTAAAATCTTATTTTGAGAGAGAAATAGAAAACCATAACCAATAAAATATGAATGCCTCTTCATTTTCATATGATTGGGAAAGATTACCAGAATATAGTAGATAAAAGAAGCATTAGACAATTCATGTTATGCAAGTAAATTCTTATTAATCTAGAATTAAGACAAAAGGTAATAAGTAGATATTGTATTTAATCCACATAAATTAAATCAAATAAGTAAATAAAATTAATTTATAAATTAATAAACAAAAGATTCTTAATAAAAATCAACATAAAATTAATAACTTACATTTGAATAAATGATGAATGAAAAAAGAAAGGGAACTAAAAGGACTGTTTATAGTCCTACAGGTAAAAGTAAGAAAACATCACTTATGATAAATATTTTAGAAAATAATGATTTCAATAAACAAAATTTATTATCTCCAATTATTACACCTGATGATAGTAGAATTTTAAGAATGCAAAATCATTCTTCCACATTACTGTAAAATCCTCAACTCAATTCATCTTATTTATAAGATTCATTTATATTACCTTCAGTAGCAACTTCAAGAATAAATAACTATTTTGAAAGTGAAGGTGTAGTTAGTGAAGGTGGAGGATTACCAATATGGGATTTATGTGATGGATCAAAACCTGAATTTTAAAAAGTAACAGGAATATTGGAAGGAATAAAAAAACCTAGTTTAATAATATTGAGAAAAGAAAGAAAAGCACATACTTGTAAATTATATATTTAATTTATTTAGAAATAGATACTGTTAAATTAATGTAAGAATTATTTGTTCAACCAATTAAATTAATTGGAGATTAAGAATCTTATGTTGAAGGTTTAGAATGAATAAAGAATATTATATGAATTGTTAACTACTTAACAAAAATTTGGTAAATTATTTATTTTAACAATATAAATCAAGTTTTATTATATACAGTAGTGCTAAAGAGAGGTCTAAGTTTATTTAATTCCTTTTAAAATAAATTTCTTTCCTCTTTCTTTCCTTTCTTTTTTTTATTATATTTTAATTTCTCATAAAAAAAGATTACTTCATTTTCTGTTGCTTAATATAAAGCCTTTAAATCTTATAATATTGTTAAAACAAATGATGTAGCTGAACTGATTATTTCATTTGTAATTGGAGACACAATAGTAATTTCTGATTAATCATCAAATTCATTTAAATCATAGAATGGACTATAAAAATTTAATAATAATATTAATTACTTTTCATTAAATCCTTTATAACTTATTCCTGTTGTTTTGGGATCAAATTCAGTCCCATAAAATTTCAAAAAATTATAGGTTGTGTAACCTATAGAAGAAGCCTAATTTTAATGATAGAAACATTCTAAAAAAGCTAAAACCATTTGAATTATACAAAAAGAGGACATTCCTCCTTTAAATTAATCATTAAGTCCTCTTTTCTTCAGTAAACTTTTGAATAATAATACAATTGCTCTCAATTCACTATAAAAAGACAACCATTATAAAGTTAATTCTGTAGAAATTAAACCCAAATGTTAATTTTATTTAGGACCTGAATATTAAATGAAACTAATATCTACACTAAATATCTATCTTGTAATATTTTCATCAGGACTTTTATTATTAATTTAATATTAATACTTTATAATTAGATCTATGTAAGGTAAGCCTATTGGTAATGAAGATTATACAAATGAAATAATTGGATCTACTTATAATTTGATTAATGGCATAGCTGATGAAGTGATAACACTATAAAATAATATAAATTTAAATTACACAATATTGTTAACCCATCTCATTTTTTAGAGAAATTCAGTTAGCTTCTAAATAGGTATATATAACTATTAAGTTGAACACATTTCAAATCCAGTTATTCCTATATCAATATCACTTTCTGGAAGAGCTAAACCAGTTGCACATGAACCAAAAAGGCGTACTTAAGAATTAAAATCTAGCTATGATATGTGATAAATAAAACCTCTAAAAAGATAATTAATAACAAATTATAATCTGTCATAAATTATTCTCCTTAATTTTAGAATTTATTGATTCTAACCTAAAATAATATCATTAAATTCTCTCATATCCATATCAAGCTTTTTAATCATTAAGGCTCTTGCTTAATTCATAATATGTTAATCAATTTAATCTTCTTTTATTATTTATTTAAAAGGAGAATTTTAATCATCTAAATGATGATTCACATTAGTGTTTCTTTTAAATAATTTATTACACTCTTATGGAATTTTAAGATTCAAATCCATTATTTATATGAATTGTTGTGATTACTTTGTACTATTTACTTATCCTAATTAAGTTAAAGAAATTTGATCCTCTTTTAAAAAGTTTTGTTATGATCGATTATCAATTTCTTAATTTTCTGATTTTAAAATCTTTTCAGTATTTGCAATAAATATTTTTTATTTTATTGTTTCAATTTCCTAAGGATTGTTTTTCTAGTTTTAAAAAAGAACAATATCATGAGCATTTGATTTAACGGATTATTCCGTAATAGTAGGTGGAATTGGTTTCTAAGGAGATTTTTATTATTTGGACTAATTATCTTAAGAAGTAGTCAATTTTCGGTTTGACTTCTTTTTATACTTTTTTGTTTTTGTAATCACAACCCATGTGTCATCAAGATCATTTTAAGTATTATTGTTTATGTCTATAATTTTTTTATCTTTAAGTATTTGATTATCTTTTTCAACTAAATTCCATTCTAATATATCATTTTGAATTTCATATGATTTTCCAGAAACTTGTACATTAATTCCAATCTCTTAACATGGACTTTAAATATTTATTTTTAAATGTTACTTTACAGATTGTTCTATATAGCATTCATTATAATGGATTTCATCTTAAGTTGTGTCTTACTTATCTACTAACTCAAAACTATTAATTTGGTCTTAATTCATATTAAATTTTTTATTCATTCTTTTATTTTTACTTTTTTTATGTTTTTTAGATTTTTTTTATCCTATAATCTACTACTAATTCTAGGTTTCAACAAAATAAATATCTTAAATTAATCTTTCATATAGTATTTCATATTTTATTCAATAGTCTTTTTTAAAATATATTTTAAGAGTTAATATATACTCAAAAAATATAAAATATTCTAATTCTTTATTCATAAATATTATAGAATTATCTTTTCATTAATAATTAGATCACTTAAATATTTAATCTTTAACTATTTCATAATGAAGCTGAATAAAATCATTACAATTTGTTTCAGAATTTTAGTTCTTAAGTCAAAAATTATCTAATAGTAAAATCTTTCAATCATGATTCTTATTTAATAAATAAAATTATATAAATGATAGAATCTTTTTAGGAATAAATTTATTAACAAAGTTTAATATAAATTCAATTCTATATTGTAATTTTTTATTATTATTATATTTTTTATCTTGGATTGTCTTGATAGTTAATATAAATCTATCTTAACATAAAAAAATCAAAACTAAATGCATTTTAAAAAGAAATAGAATTTCATTTGTATATTATTTGTTAAAATTATATAATTTTATTAAAAAATTACATAAAAAATAATCTCTTTAATAATTTATATTTATTTATTAAAAATTCCAGGAATCAATACATTAAAGATCAGCATTACAACTATGTTTATAAAAATATTAAATTTTTATTCATATACTGATATTTAAATGTATCAAATTTATTTTATTCATTTAAAATAATTTGAATTTTTATTATGAATAAACTACAACTTAATATAATCAGATTAGGATAGTGATTATAATATGCAAAATATTAGTATATAAATATATGAATTTTAAATTAATCATATATATTAATATCCTAATCATATAGAAATCGTATTATTATTAATCAGAATACTAATTATTTGAATTTCATCATTTTTATACTCTATAAATAAAATGTCATTATTTTCAAAAAAAGAATAGAAGAAATAACCTACTCAATATTTGGAATTTGATTCATTGGCTGTTAAAAAGTATATTTATGACTCAAAGAAAGCCAATGAATAGTCTATAAAACAAGAGTAGTATATAAATGATTTAAGAAAAGCGTATGAATTCCAAAAAAAATTAGTTATGATTAGTAAAGAGTTGAAATTGAACCTATCTTTTAAAAAGTAGAAATGCTATAGATAGAAAGAAAATAATTAATGGACGAAGTTGAACAATATAAAATGAGTTAGATGGAAATTCTTAAGAAATATGAAGGAGAATATTAGGATAAAGAGAAACTTATGAAAGAATGCTAAAAATACAAATAATAGATTTTAGCACTTTAGAAGATGTAAATGCCTTAAGAATTTTAAGAAAAAAAATGTCAGGAATTAAAAGAATCTTTATTTAATACTATAAAAGACATTATGAATGACTTTTTGGAAAGTTATAATGATTAAATAGGATATGAAAATGATGATTAGGGTATCAATTCAAAATTAATAATAGATTCTGCATAATTATTTCATGATTTACTCTAATAGATTGATGACTCAATATTAATGTTTGTAGAAAATCTACCAGCTTAATCGAGTAGATAATATTAATCAGAGGAAGTTCAACATCTTAAGGATTAAATAGAAAAAACTTTGTAAATTGTAGCTAATTTGCAATCAGAAAATTAAGACTTAGTTGTTTCATTAGAATCTGAAAAGTAACTTAAAGATAAAATCAATAATCAAAAAAATACTTAATAATAATTAGTTAGTCAATTATAAAATTAAATTGAGTAAATAGTAAATGAAAAAAAGACTATTGATTAATAATATTCAGAAATTTAGATTAAATATTAAGAATTATCAAAAGAATATTAAAAATTAAATTAAATTAAAGAAGATGAAAAAGAAAAGTTAAAGATAGAATTAATAACATTGGTTAATGAATTATAAAAAGAAATATAAAAGATTTAATAAGAAAATTCTAGACTTTTGTAATAAATTGAAGATAAAAATGCTGAATTTAATAATAAAACAGAATAATTTAATAATAAAATAAGAGATTTAGAAACTAAATTGAATCATGAAGAATTAAAATTTGATTAAAAATCTAAAGAAGTAAGATTATTCATATTATATAGTTTCTTAGAAATGAAAGAGAATTAAGTTAATATAAATCTGAAGCTGCTAAATTATTTGAAAATAATAATATATTACAATAATAATTAGATGCATTTAAAGAAAAAAGAAAATAAGAAAAAGAAATATTTGATGATTAAAAGGATAAATATAAATAAATGAAAATATAATTATAATAACAAGAATAAGAATATTAAGCAAAAATTACTTAATTTGAAGAATAAATTCTATTACTTTAATAAAAAACTGAAAGTACAATTTCAACACAATTATCTATTAATCCAGAAATTATAATGGAAAAAGAATTGTAAATTTCAAAATTAGAATAATCTAACATAGAGTATTTTATATATATTAATATATATCAGATTAAATTAAAAAAATAGTGAATTAATATAAAAATTAGCTGAAAATAAAATAGTGATTAATGATTTGAATCATGAATTAGAATAATAAAAATTGACTAATCAATAACATCTAGACAAAAGAGCATTTGCATTAAGTGAATTAAATAGATTAGAATAATAAAATTAACTATTAAAATAAGTATATAATATTCATATTTATTTTATAGAAAACAAATGATTAAAATTAAATTATCAAATAATTATAAATGGAAAATTAATAAATATCCCAATTTGTCAAATCTTCAAAATAATAGCCTATTCAGAATATGCAAAAGCAAATACTCAATTAAAGCATTTCTAAAACTCCTATGGTAGAACAAAACTATTTAGATTCATCTATGGTATCTGATGCTGAGAGTTAAACTTCAAAATAGTCTAAGCCTCCTTCCATACTTATGAAAGGATTAAATTATTTGAAATCAACACCTTAACCAATTTAAAATGTAGTATATTTATTTAAATATGAAAGTAATAAGAAAATTAAGATATAAAAATTGCTGCTACTATGATACATAAGTAGACAGAAGAGTTAAAATAAAATTTAGAATAACTCTATAAATGTTTTTTATCAACAGTTCTACTATCTTAAAATAATGAGTAAGAAGGTAAATTTCTAAAGTTTGAAAGGGAAATAAATGAATGTTTGAAGAAAACTTAAGATTTGAATGATAACATTGAAGATTTTTTGATATTATGATTAATTTGAAATTTTTATAATTTAAATAAGTAACCATTAAAATCATTAAAATTTTAGATAATAAATAATTAATATAATTATAAATTAGATATAATAAATTAAGATTGAAATATAAAAAAGATATATTCTGAATTTTTAAATATTGTAAATATATTTTAAGTAGAATAATCTAAAGAAATTAATATACTGTATTAATTAAGCTTATTAAAAGAAAAGCATCATTTTTATTTCTTGTTGCCATTTCTGACACAATTTTTGCAATAGTCTTTTCTTATTGTTAAGCAATCTTGATGAAAAGGTTTGTTACATCTTGAACATTAAACACTTTAAGAAGCTTATGAAAATTATTTCTTACAAAATGTACAAAATATTTTCTTTTGATTCTTCACTTACTAATCAAAGTTCATATTTGGACTTATAATAAGTAAATTTAATACTTTTTTCCTGCATTTTCCCTTTTTTCTCTTTTATTAGCTAAGCTTGTAGGATATTAAGGACTTAATTCTTATTCAATAGATTCATCATCTTCAATATGTTTCAATTTTGATTTTTTTTTAATTTATTTAACTTCTTTTTAGGTAACTTTTTAAGTAAGTTTTCTTGGAACTTAATTTTTTTTATTTTTTAATTCTTTTTAGGATCGATATTACTGATACTCTTCTAATAATAAATTTAAAGTAATTAAAGAAATATAAATGCTATATTAAGTTGATGCATTATCCACAAATACAGCTAATTAATTAACAAGCTAAAAATTTTATTTAAATAACTTAAATGGTTTAATAATATATCCATCATTTGATTTTAATAATAATAAGCCATTAAAAAACATTTTTAGTGCTTATATTATAGATTAAAGTTATTTTTCATTCTTTAATAATTAATAAAAATTTTGTTTCTAATTATTTTCTATCCATATCAAATTTCTAGATTACAAGTATTTTGTATATTTCTCTTCAGTAAGCAAAAACTATTCAATAACTTCCATAATTTCTAGATTATATTACTATTCTATTTATTGGTTTACAAATACTTTAAATTAATCTATTCTATGTTTTTATAGGAGTTGTATTATCAAAGAGTTTGACTTGACTTATTAATTCTAGATTTTCAAATAAGTTTAATTCATTAACTCCTTATAAATTGAGTGCATTCATTAATTCAGATAGATCAGAAAGTGTATATTAACCCCATCCTGTCATAGTTTCAACAAATATTGAACTAGGAACATGAGTAAAATAAAAATATTATTATTCATCTGCATCTTAACCAAGATATGTTCCACAATTAATATAAGCAGATTAATTTTGTTAAAATAATATTTTTAAATTTGCTAATATAATTTTGAGATTTTACATTGTCTATAATTTGTTTAAGAATCCTTTTATTTAATTTATTCTTTCATTTTATCCAAATCATATAAACCCTCCATTAATATATTTAATATGTATATTTAATCTGAAAATTCTAAATTATTAAAATTTATTTTATTTATCTTTGACTCATAATCATAATTGATAATTTGATCAATTTATATTACACATTCTATCCATGTCTTTTTTATTAATTCTTTCATCATATTTTCTTAATGACCATACAAATAATTCATAATTTCTAAAAATGCATTTGCTTAAAAGTTAGCCTAATTGCAATACTTTTCAAATTTAGACACATCTGATAACATGAATTCATTAAAATACTCAGTTAACAAATTCATAAGAATTTCATAAAAATTTT